GTGGCTCACGCATGTATGTAATCCCAGCACTTTAAGAGGCCAAGGCAGGAAGACTGCCTGAGCACAGGCATTCAACACCAGCCTGGGAAATATGGTGCAACCCCAGTATTAAAAAAAAAAACACAAAAAAGGCCGGGCGTGGTGCCTCATGCCTGTAATTCTAACACTTTGGTGTAATCCTAACACCTTGAGAGGCCGAGGCGGGCAGATCACCTGAAGTCAGGAGTTCGTGACCAGCCTGACCAACAGGGAGAAATCCCATCTCTACTAAAAATATAAAATTAGCCAGGCGTGGAGGCGCATGCCTGTAATCGAAGCTACTCAGGGGGCTGAGGCAGGAGAATCGCTTGAACCCAGGAGGCAGGGGTTGCAGTGAGCCGAGATCACGCCATTGCAGTCCAGCCTGGGCAACAAGAGCAAAAACTCCGTCTCAAAAAAAAAAAAAAAAAAGCCAGGCGCATCGGCTCACGCCTGTAATCCCAACACTTTCAGAGGCCCAGGTGGGCAGATCATCTGAGGTAAAGAGTTCAAGACCAGCCCTGGCTAACATGGTAAAACCCCGTTTCTACCAAAAATACAAAAAATTAGCCAGGCATGGTGGCACACACCTGTAATCCCAGCTACTCAAGAGACTGAGGCAGGAAAATTTCTTGAACCCGGGAGGCAGAGGTTGCAGTGAGCTGAGATCATGCCATTGCACTCCAGCTTGGGCAACGAGAGTGAAACTCTGTCTTAGAAAAAAAAAAAGGGAAATGTTTCCCAATCCTTGTATTAGAACATAATAAAAAAATATAAATAGTAACTATGTTCATTATGAGAAGATTTCAAAGTACAGTTCCAGTAGAATATTAACCATTTCCTTTTTGGGGTACATTAATGTTTTAACTTATCTTGCTTTTACTAAGATCTCTTCATGATTTAAAAACTGTAAAGAACAATAAAAATTTAAGAATCAAAACAATAAAATATTTTATAAGTTGAACTTACTTTTAGAATTGGATTTAATATATTTCATTGCAACAAATCTTGCAAAATGATACATCAGATGAATAAACTTAGGACCACCAGGAGAAAGAAATAGTGAACCAACAACTTGAGGAAAGCTACTTCCACATTCACCCTATGAAGAAAAGAAGTAAGATGATTTGAAGACTTTGTTAACAAAAACTCTTACATTTACATCATACTATTTTTGTTAAAGGGTGTGACAGTCTTGCAATAGAAGTCCCACATTTTCATGAGCACTATGCTACAGGTTGGCACGGGGTTCCCTAATACCTCTTCATAGCACAGTGGCTTGGACATGTCCAACTCTGCAGCAGAGTACAAAACAGTCCAAGGGGGTAAGGCCCCCAGCCCACTGTCTCCTCATCATACTATTTTTGAAGCATAAAAGAATTTGATCAGGACTGGGTGCGGTGGCTCATACGTGTAATCCCAGCATTTTGGGAGGCTGAGGCAGACAGATCACTAGAGGTCAGGAGTTCAAGACCAGCCTGGCCAACATGGTGAAACCCCATCTCTACTAAAAATACAGAAGTTATCTGGGCATGGTAGTACATGGCTGTAATCCCAGCTACTCAGGTGGCTGAGGTGGGAGAATCGTTCAAACCTGGGAGGCAGAGTTGCAGTGAGCCAAGACTGTGCCACTGCACTCCAGCCTGGGTGACAGAACAAGACTCCATCTCAAAAAAATAAAAAAGAAAAAAGAATTTGATCAGAATTATTCCATTTAAACCACAAGTTAAACGTTGTGGGTTTTGGCTTTTCTAAACTCTATGTGGACCTGGTAAGAAAAAACAATTATAATAATACAGACACAATCATTGATACTATCTGGGGAAGCAAACTAAAATAATATACAGTTGAAAAAGTTTTCTTTAAACAAAAACTGTGCTATAAACTCTCAGAAAGTCTAAAACCTATTTTCAGTGCACCTGGCCAGCAAAGCTGGTTTCTTC